TTAGATATGTTTCAATCCTTCTTCAATATAATAAAGCTCTTCGCTCTCACTCATATATCTTTAATATATATCTATAATATATATCTATATATAGGTTTGCTATAGAATATAGATGGCCAAACGACTAGACCATATTAGCTGAACATTTTTGAGGGAACCCATGGGTACACAAGGGGTCACAAAGATTCAATATATTCGAATTTCTTGCCGCGTCCATAATTATAAAATCAAAATTAAATGCCAAACGCGGGTAAACGGTGGGAGTGACTATCTTACTATGACTAATAAAATAAACCTGGGCAACACCGGGTATTCCAGCTTGTATTCTATATAGATATTTTTAATAATTATGAGAACAGAAAAGAATACCGAGTAAGGCAGGCTAATTGTAGAATATTAAGGGCAATTAGAAATATTAATAAAAATGCTTCTACTTATATTCCTATTTCCTGTTCTGTAGGGTTTGATACAAAACTTATTTAAAATAAAAAAACAAATTCAATCTTCAAATCTTGATATTTTAAAAGATCCAGGTCGTCATTAAACTCTCATCTTAAATTGGTAACAACGTGATTTAGTTAATTTTTAGAGTTGAAATATAAATAATCAATTAATCATCAAGAATTAAATCTCGATAAATATATATATTTGGCTTTCCGGTTTATTTGTCTGTCTGTTTGTATCCAATAAATGTCAAAACAGCTGTACCGATCGGGCCCCACATATTTGCGGTACCTCGCATGATCCCAGGAAAGGGTTATGAATGATTGAATTTCCAAAAATTTGCTCCAACAAAATTAGTTTCTTGAAAATTTTGAAAATCCACGAATCTTTTTCATACAATTCGCAAAATTTTTGTTTGTTTTTGTTTTACGATGTACACAAAGAAAACATGTTCACAATTGAAAAAGGAGATGGGCGCGAAGCGCCTTAAAAGCCTAGTATGATAATATTAGATAACAATGTAAATTTGAAATTGGTTGGCCGTAGTAAATCGTTATATTTGACAAGTTTTAGGTCATTATTAAATAATATATAATTAAAACTTATAAACGCATACATGATTTGAATTCCCTGTAAGTACGAAACAAAGCATTCGTTGATTGAGGAACGAATATAAGTTTATTTCAAAATAAATCAATATTTGGGGTTAATGTTCCACATGTCGGGTTGGGATAATTGGGTATTATTCTCCGGGTACAAACATCTACTGATGAGTTGCATCTCAGCATCTATTGTTTATTTCCCTGGTTGGATACTAGGACTGACAACTCAATCCATCATTCACCAATATTAGAAACCTCTTAGTTTTATCATAATCCTTTCAGGAACATATCAACCCATTAGCAACCAAAAGGAACCCCATGAAAACAAATTAACTGTCACAAGGAACACTAGCCATCTATCAGGAACACTAATAAACTATCAGGAACACTAGTAAACTATCTGGAACACTAGTAAAATATCAAGAACACTAGTAAACTATCAGGAACACTAGTAACCTCTCCGGAACACTAAATAACTATCAGGAATACTAGTAAAATATCAAGAACACTAGTAAACTATAAGGAACACTAGTAACCTCTCCGGAACACTAAATAACTATCAGGAACAATAGTAAAATATCAAGAACACTAGTAAACTATAAGGAACACTAGTAACCTCTCCGGAACACTAAATAACTATCAGGAACACTAGTAAAATATCAAGAACACTAGTAAACTATAAGAAACACTAGTAAACTCTCCGGAACACTAAATAACTATCAGGAACACTGGTAAACTATCAGTAACACTAGTAAAATATCAAAAACACTAGTAAAATACCAGGAACGCTTGTAAACTATCAGGAACACTAGTGAACTATCAGGAACACTAGTAAACTATTAGGAACGCTAGTAAACCATCAGGAACGCTAGTAAACTATCAGGAACACTAGTAAACTATCAGGAACACGTGCAAACTATCAGGAACTAATTTTGATATTAAACAAGTTTCGGATATATAACTTCATAAAATGAAAATTACTGCATGAAATGGAATTCCAAACTATATGAAAAGTTTTATCAATAATAAGTTTAGATTTATAACTTTAACCCAGTTTGTTTGGCAAATAATACATACGCACCACTGTGGAAGAGATGGTCAAATTTACGCAACATTACTGACCAGACCTTGTGACCTCATAGCTCAATTTCCTTTAGTTTGAGGTGGCAACGGCACAGTACAGTGCAGTACATAAAGAACATTTAAAAATAACGTTAATATCTTTATGTTAAATTAAATACGAATGTCGTCATATGTTTTATTTTTTTTCTACGAGACGTATAAACGTAATGTAATTTTATATTACATTCGTGCACCGTAATATACAAAGGATTGATGAGAATATATAATAGAATATTGATTAGTAGCTAGCATTTGTATTATTGATTGATGGATTCATATTTACAGGTTTTAATGGGACATGGAGCAGAGCAGGAATATACTTATGGAGCTGAGAGAGGAACTTGCATAAATTCTCCAGTATACTCCTGGAGGTGAGAGAGGAACTGTATTCTCCGGTATACTCCTGGAGCTGAGAGAGGAACTTGCCTAAATTCTCCAGTATAATACTGGAGCTGAGAGAGGAACTGTATTCTCCAATATACTCCTAAAGCTGAGAGAGGAACTGTATTCTCCAGTATATTTTTGGAGCTGAGAGAGGAACTGTATTCTCCAATATATTCCTGAGGCTGAGAGAGGATCTGTATTCTCCAGAATTCTCCTGGAGCTGAGAGAAGAACTTTATTCTCCAGTGTACTCCTGGAGCTAAGAAAAGAACTGTATTCTCCAGTATTCTCTTTTAGATAAGAGAATTACGGTATTTTCCAGAATATTCTTGGTGCCGAGAGAAAAAACATTATCTTCAATCCTGTTCGGAGAATAATCTCTCCTAGAACCGAACCCTGAGGAGAGAAAGATAGATCTGGTGAATGGTCGGGTTGTAATGAATACGCTCCGGGACGAAGACGGATTATCTTTTGTATCCGGAGCTCTTAAGAGATAGGTTGGAAACAGCTGAATATGTTCCCACTCTATACAATATAATAACCCAGAAAATTTGCTGGCACGACACTTTTTCAAACAAAACCAGCAATGTAATAAAAATCTTTAAACATGAAAAAGTCTCTTCTACAAAAAACTGGGAGACAAAAGAGACAATACTCTGTAATCTGAGCAGATTCGGAGAACGTAATATACAAGTTGAAGAGGATCTAATCCTTGGTTAAGGACTGATAACTATGGAGATTACTCTTCTCATATTGATCTTCATCTCTCTTCCAAGTCCAGGTTTAAGCTCTCGTACTTTTGATAAACATGATAATTTTTTATTTTACTTCTTTTTGCTCTAAACGAAACAGGAGGTTTTTTTAATTCAATTTTTCCTATTTTTTTTATTAGATGTTCAAATCAAAATCTAAAAAAATGATGTAAATAAGGAAAATTACGAACAATACTTGTAGTTTTTCTCAAACAATATTTCTCTTTATTGTCTGTTCAAAGAAGAAAAATATTTTCTCTGCAATTAAATAAATTGAAAGAGAGAAACAATAAAATTATTTAATTAAATAGAAATACAACAATTACTTATTTGGAAAATTTAACAGAAAAGGTTTATTTTGAAAGTTGGTTGGAATTTAAAAGCATTTATTTAATTTTATTTCCATCTAACTGAGTTTTCTACAAACTGGAACCCATAAAACTAAATTGACAAACCCTGGAGGATTTAAAATCCAACCTAATCCTACTCCTGCTCTTCTTTTCTTATATTCTGGACTTCAGATCACACGTGTAAAAAGTCGTGGTTTTCTTAAATGGGCTGTAGACGTAAATTCAAGTGACCTTTTACGCTGAATGATTCACAACGGTACCCTTTAAACCATTATCTGATCAACATTTTTACAGATATCATCGTTTTTTTAATCTAAATAGTGTTAAATTCTGACAGTTTCGCCATTGTTTCTGTGTCAGAAATCTACAATTCACTTTTAAAGAGAAACTCCAATAGGAAATAATTAATTCTAATCTTTTTTATAATTATTATCCTTTACTCTTTTCCTAATATCATGTTATTCTTCTAAAGTTCTTTCTTTTCATCCTTCTATCCTTCTATCCTTCTATCCTTCTAACCTTCTATTCTTTTATCCTTCTATCCCTATATCCTTTTATCCTTCTATTCTTAAATCATTCTATTCTTAAATCCTTCTATCCTTCTATTCTTATATTATTCTATCCTTCTAATCTTCTATTCTTCAATCCTTCTATCCTTCTACCCCTGTTTTAACTGCTCCTATATTCCAGGTTCTCCGAGTTGGATAAATCTTCCATCAAGATATGTTGCACTGGAACGAGATCTAGCCGTCAGGTAAAGATTTTAAATCAAAATATTCAAAAAAATATTTAAAAGTATTTTCAAATCTTTATTCTTAGTTACGAGATTGAAAAGTTTGATCCTGCGAGGTTTAATGATATCCACACACTCCTGCATGCTGGACCTGCTCTTCTCTATGCAGCTCGGATACCGGTCGGAACCGGAGTCATCATTATTCCATGCGGAGTTATCACCTACGCAGGGAATCATTCCCTGTCTATTGCGTACACTAACGGAACCATGATTGCGTCAGGATTCTTTCAGGAATGTTGAAACTTTTACTTTAAGTACTTTTAAGACTTTTGCCAAGAAACCTGTAACTATAAATTGATCAAATACAACCAATTCTGAGGCCTTGTCAACAAACCACAACCCTCCCCCACTACACTCCCCCCCCCACAGTGGAGTATTAAGGGGGGGAGGGGGAGGTCAGCTAAAATGAGTTTATTCCATAAACCTCTTATTTATGTCAACTAAGGCTTAGCCGCTTAAGAATTTTTTTTTTGAGAGAAGTCTTTAAGTTGTTTAAATGCTATGTTTTAGTTTTGAATTTCGACCGAAAATCCGTTATTTCATTTAAAATATGATTTTTTCAACACACTTCTTACACTAACCCAAGGTTTTGGCGTACTGCCGACGCCCCTAAATCTTTTCTTTATAGCTGTAAGATTTCATTTATATATATAGATTATCCCGAAACTTTTGTTAGAAAATATATGTTTTTCTTCCGAAATAGCTCACTGTAACAAAGACGACATCTAAATATATTGCGGGTTTACAGGATCCATTCAAGGAAAAATATATGAACGGGAAAAGTTAAATTAAAAATTGAAATCATTATAAATCAAGCTACAATTGATAAAATTTTTGTAATTGAAAAGATTATATAAATATATATTCATTTTGTCCATTCTCAACATGAAACACAAAACAAATGCATTTTAAGAGGAGTATTGTGACAAAAACCAGTCACCCCCCTTGACCCCCTAAAGTACCCCACCGTGCCCCCATTCCTCATCTGCGCCCCCCATCTACTCCAATCCCCCATTGCTCTTTTACCAAAGTAATTCTTTTCTAATTCTCCCTCTCACGAACCCCTCCTATATTTTACCCTCATAATTCCCTTTCCAACCTAAATCTCATCTTCCCACTTACCTCTTCTTTTTCACCATCACGATTTCCTCCCATTTTAGTTTTTCTTCCTCCTTTATTCATCTTTCATTGTTTTCATCTTTGTTTCTTATTTATTTCCCTTTTTCTCCTTTACAAGGCCTCTACGCCACCTTTCTTTTCTCAAATGTTCTCCCCATTCTTGTTCTTTTGCGTTCCTCTTTACCCTTTACACATCACCATTGGATCCTTTCATTCCAATTCCAATCTTTTTCCCTTTTCCATTCACCCTTCGTATTCTCATTCCGAACTTCTTTTACTTCTTTTACTCTCACTGTCTAATCTTACTCTTGGCTTCCCTACTCCTCTTTCCCCATCTTTTACCCCTTTCTTATTAACTCATTCTTCCTTATGTGGATTTTCTTATTTTCGTTTTGATGCATTAAGTTTTTAACATGCCAAGGTTGTTTGGCCTGTGATAACATTGAATACTCCAACCCGAGTTGAAACCTACACTACAGATGTTACTCTAGGAGTAAGTTTTACCAGAGCAGTCTGTTCTCCTAAAGGACGGAGGGAAGAGGGTGTGCTGCAAGGGGGAGAGTTTGGTACACCTACAATTTGGTTAAAGTTGATGTTGTGCAATGATAATAATTGTTCTAAGAATGATGTTTATTATCTTGTCAAGTTAGATTCATTCTATTCTCGTCCATCCTCTGTAGTTACAGTTCCCTGCAGGTTCTGGGGTTGGCCTGGAGTTTATCAGGTTAGGATCGGGGCGGAGATAATGATAAAAGATGATGATTCAAGAGATAATGGTCTTATTGCCACCAGCTTGGGGATCGAAGTTGCCTGGAGTCTTGAATATAAAATCCTGGTGGATAAAACTAACCTGGAAAACTGCCGGCAGGATGAAACTGTCGTGATAGAGTTGGACTATCCACACTGTATTGGATTAAAGGATAAAATCAGACTGTACCGTGAACCTGTCAAGCCTGGGTTGGGTCGAGCTCAGTATGTTGGAGAGCAACGTGTAGTTCCGGGAGATAAAGCTGTTCTCTTCCCTTGTTCTCTGTTCAACATTACACAAGACTTCATGTTCTGCTTCCATTATATTTCTACCTCGGAGAATGGGAAGGTTTCTCTTGTGACAGATTCCTGCTCCAGGCAAAGCAAAGGTAGGAGGGAATCAAACAATAAATAAAACAGAATCATAATATTTTTAACGTCTTAAATCTACCTCTAAATTCTAAATTCTGATTTTGGCTCAATAGGGCCAGGAGTTGATTACTTGACAAGGAAAAGTTTAAGTTTTTAATTTAGTTTCCTGCGTTGAGGTTCTAATCCAGTGAAATTACCGGTTCCACCTCCAGTAATGTAAATTCCAAGTATTTCGGAAGAAAACAAGTCTCTGGGGAATTCTTTCTGTCAGGGTTTCCGTTTTCTTTTCTGAAAAGTTTCCTTTTCTTTTTCTGTCAGGGTTTCCTTTTCTTTCTTTCACAATTCATTTTCTTTTCTGTCTGGGTTTCCTTTTCTTTCTTTCACAGTTCATTTTCTTTTCTGTCTGGGTTTCCTTTTCTTTCTTTTATAGTTAATTTTCTTTTCTGTCTGGGTTTCCTTTTCTTCCTTTCACAGTTCATTTTCTTTTCTGTCTGGGTTTCCTTTTCTTTCTGTCAGGTTTTCCTTCCAGGATTTCATTTCTCTTTCTTCCCTAATTCTTCACTTTCAAAAAAATTTCTTTTAAAAAGTTACAATTTTCCCTTGTTTATCTTTTTTCTTTATTTTAGAATATTAAAATTTTCCTCCAGGTTCTTTTATGTGTTTTTCTTGATATTTCTTTTTTCCTATCACATCTTTTCTATTCACTTCCTTTTCATTGATCATTTACTTTCCTTTTTCTGATTCAAAAGTTCCTTTTATAGAGGGGGGGGGGGGGGTTCTAAAATTGATACAACTTTTACAGATAATGTTTTTATGCATGTATAAATAGAAATTCATATTTAACTTTTTTTACACGGTTTAACACTTTTATTGTTCTTTAAAATTATCAAACTTTAATTTTTGAACTCACTTTATCCCTCATAATGTTTTTATTATTGGTTTTCGTGTTGTAGGGAGATATTGGGAGAGAAATAAACTTATTTGGCTCTACCATAGCAATAACCTTCCCTCAAACTAAAATCAATGTTGGAAATATTTCATGAAAAGTAGAGTTATCAATGAATCATATGGTTAGGTTGGATCAATTTTATTTATACTTGGTTGGATCAAGTTTCTATCTCCAGGTAGCTGGGAGAGCTGGAGCTCCTGGTCCCAGTGCTCTGTAAGCTGTGGAGCAGGTTCAAGATCTAGGTTCAGGTTCTGCAGTTCACAATATCAGTGTAAGGTACTTTACTCCCTTTCTCTTCCACAGTTTAACAATTCTCTAAGAACACTGTAACACTGTAACAGATGACTCTACTCACATAAATTATGGAAAATATAAGAAATAATTTAGGAAAATGTTTCTATTTAGTAATAGATATCAAAGAAATAATTTAGGAAAATGTTTCTATTTAGTAATAGATATCAAAGAAATAATTTAGGAAAATGTTCTCAAACTTGTTTAAAGATTTACATTTATCAAGTATATTTAGGGAGATAGGGTTAGTAGTGAACCTTGTAACCTGGCAGAGTGCTTCTCCCAGTCTACTCCTACATATAGAGAAGAGGTATCAGTCTAAAACCTTGAAACTGATCACAAAGTATTGTCAAAATTTTTTTAATGAATTTTGTAAAGAAATCTTAACTCCCTTTTTCGAATTTAAACACATAAGAAGAGAAATTATCTATTTAGACGACAGTTGGAGCAACCCGTCCTATTCCTAGTTCTCCATGTTCTTGTGGATGCACGTTCATTCTACACTCCCAGGATACAGAGGAGAAAACAGTCCGAGATATTCATGTAGTTTCAGGTATACTCCAGGATATTCAAGTAGTTTCAGGTATACTCCAGGATATTCAGGTAGTTTCAGGTATACTTCAGGATATTCAAGTAGTTTCAGGTATACTCCAGGATATTCAAGTAGTTTCAGGTATACTCCAGGATATTCAGGTAGTTTCAGGTATACTTCAGGATATTCAAGTAGTTTCAGGTATACTCCATGATATTCATGTAGTTTCAGGTATACTCCAGGATATTCAGGTAGTTTCAGGTATACTTCAGGACATTCGTTTTTAAGCAATAAAGAGAAGGTTTGACTCAACCGCTCATTTTCTTTACTTTTTCTTTTTAATCCACAATTTTTTAAATCTTTATTTGAACCATTTTATTGGAAACTTTTCTTTAGAATTTATTTCCGTGTTTGTATCCATTGCATTTGCCATTAAACCCTGGTACACTTACTATTCTCCGGGTAGTTCCTTGAACACAGATAAATTCTCAACTTCATTATAATTAGATCCTACTTCACAACTTTACACTCCTACACACATACACGTGGAATTCTAATAACAACTGCAGATTCCAACCCGGCCCTTGGGTTCAATATATTGTTATCAACTGTCAAAAATAAAGGGAAAAATTGGAAACACGCTTAGTTTTCATAGAAAATAATAATAATATAGTTTTTGGCATCGTTTAGATATAGGAAACTTATGGAAGTTGCCCCTCTGAAAGAAACTGATCAGTCGCCAAGCTTTATAATTTTCTTATCACCATATCTTTGCAACCTGATGGTGTAATTCTTTCATATTTGAAAATTTATTCCAGCAGAATTCATATTTCATAGTTTTACAATATCAAAGGTCTACAACATAAGATTGCAAAGATATAGAGATTAAAATAATTTGATTTTGCTGCGAGAAATCAGCTAGTTCTTTTGTGATTCATAAGAAAAGAATAGTTTAAGGGAAAATATATATTTACATATTTAAGATTTTATGATTGAAGGTTTGAAGGGTTTTCTTTTGTGTTGAAGATTTAGAAAATTTAGATTCGATGCATTTTTATTTTAAAGATGTTTTCTATCTTCTTATTATTTTTTGAGTATAGGACACTCATTTTTGGTCTCATATATATTTGTCAATAACTGTTTAATTATAACAAACTAACTTAACAATGAAAAACTAAGTTCTTGCCACAAGCTTAATCTTTTTTATCCTAAAGGTGTAAACCTTTGATATTTCAAACTATTTGATCCATCAGAATTAATAGTTTGAAATATCAATGGTCTACATCATCGGGTTACATAGATATGGGAATTTTTAACAAAGTGTTTACGACAAGAACTCAGTACTTTTGAACCAAATGTGATTTTTTCAAACAATTGTGAGAAGTAATTATAATCCCTTTTATATACGACCGTAGTACATGAACTTGGATATCTATTTAATAAAATAAAAAATAAAAATTTCAAGAATATTGTCTAGTTCAGATATTTTTTAAAGGTTTATTTCAATTGAAGAGTCAAAAACACGATTCACAATGGTACCCAAATTATAAAATTATCTGTACAACAGTGAGGAAGATATTTAAAACATGTTTAATTCTGTCAATTTAAGTCTTTTTTTCTGCTGCATAACTCCGTAAATAACGAATATATATATATACGAATGCCTTGTTTTATTATATAGATTAAATACTAGCTGAAGTGCCCGGCGTTGCCCGTGGAATTAAAACAAAAAATTGAAATGTGTTTTTGATTTTTTTTAGCCAATGTTACCCCCAGGGTTCCCGTTTGGCTCTCTCAAAAAAATTCAGCTAATTTGGTCCAGTCCAGTAAATATACAAATATGTGAGCTTTATTTTATAGATTATTTTAAAGATTTATTTGTAAATAATAAAATATAATTTAATATTCTAGGATTATGCAAGCAATCTCTGATAACCTGGACACTCAGGTAAATGATTATATTTAATTAACTATAATTACATCTGTTAATTACTCCGTTGCGGTTAATTATACATTATTAATGATCAGTATACTTATCAATTATTCCAAGGGGGGGGGGGCGCATTGTTTTTGCAAGGTCTCCTGGAAAACAATATCTGTTAACATACAGATTTAAAAGATGGCGGATTTTTGGGTAAATGAATAATCTAATTTGATTAAAAACAAAAAAGTCTGTAATGTTTTCTTTTTTATCATTCATTTTATAACCTCAGGTTGGATTTTTTGTGTGAAATGCAATAAACATATAGACTAGGGCCTAAACATAATCTTCAATGCTGGAACTTTTTAATTACAGATTAAGGGTTTTAATCTTTGAAAAACAGCTGACTCGTTTTTTTTTAAAATCCCATTGACATACAGTCACAGAGATATTAATTATCAAACTATAAAAGTGTCCTCTGAATGGATTAAAAAGATTTATTTGGTTGATTCTAGCTCAATTAGTAATATGTACACTGTACACTGTACAGGGTGTCTCTGGGAAAAGTTCTCCTGCTGAACCTGACCTCCCCTAGTCTATCCTGTCCAGGACTTATTCTCAACCTCCGGGACGGAGTAAAGGAGGAGAACCCTCTCCTTTATCAGTCAGTGATGGAGGGGTACCCCGAGAAACTCTTTAATTCGTCCCTGAACACGGTTCGATTTGAGCTGAGAGCTGGAGGGTTGGTGGAGAATTTATTCGAGTGTTTTGCTGAGTTTATGGTTCAAGTTACAATTACAGGTTCAGCAAAATAAAATATTTATCTCTTTTATAATTTATATTTTAACCGTACTAAATCAAATAGTTATTTATACTAATTATCGATAACTCTAGCTTGTCTAAGCTCATGATTTAAACTTTGCTCAGATACATTTTAAAAAGTATCCATATAGTTCACAGTAATATAATCAGCATATACTTGAATAAGAATTGTTTTGTTTCAGACAAAGTTGTCAGAACGAACACAGTCTTTGAAGAAAGTTGGTATTATCTTTCCCAAGCTATAAATCTGCTCAGTCCCGTGGTGGTGGTTATAGTTCTAGTTTTTCTAGTTCTACTCTGTACCCTGATCATGGTGTCTGACTATGTAGTGAAGAAGGCCAGGTACTCCAGGTGGAAAGCAAGACCGGAGTCGGGGTTCAATTCTCCAGAGCATAGTTGTCACACCTACCTTCCTCAGGGTCTACCTTATACCTCTCTCTCTACTATCTCCGAATATATTCCGCTCTCAGTGGAGAACGAAGATAACAACCTAGAGCTTGAAGGTCAGGAACCAGTTTCTCCGGTGAAACGAAGACGGAGAAGATTGCTAAGAAGACGTGAGACACTATCGGATTGGTGTATTAATAAGAGAAGTGAAATTAGAAAATCATCTCTCCCTGGTAAGATAAAACTGTATCGCACTGTATCAGTGAAGGACTCGGTTGACTCCCCGCGACCAACTATATCAGTTTCTGACATGAAACCTAAAGAAAAGCGTGCCGCACCACGGCGAGAACGAAAACAAAGATATTCTTCTCAAAGTTTGGCAAGTTCTTGCTCCAGTGATACTAGATCTAGTCGGGGAGTAGAGATGGATCGATCAGGATCGGAGATGACGCTTCGTCCTTCTCATTCAGTCTCAGGGTTCTCTTGTAACTCTGTAGAGCAGGAGATGGAATACGATCTTTATGATTGTGATATCGGGAATGTGATGGCTGCTCCAGGTTCAATGTTTGCTCCGGCATACTGGGATTGTGACACAACACCAACTCTGGACCTGGAGCTAACCCAGCTCTTCCCGAAGGATGAAGATGAGGTTGAGTTACGGGAAGTTGGTGGACGAGGACATCTTGCAACAAGTATAACCTCGGATTTAACCTCAAGTATTAGCTCTGCTGTATCCAGGAGCACATTAGTGGGAGAGGATGATAAACTAGACCTGGAGGAGATCAATGAAACCAGTACACTTCTCCGGGCTAACAAGGAGCTAGATACGTCCTGCTACTACAGTGGAGATGAATCTGAACCCTGTCTGCGAACCCCAACCAAGAAGAGAAATGAAAACCTTTTAAATATTCAGCATGTTAATGAAATATCCTTTGTAGACGATTGATCCCCAGCTTAGAGCTTAGTTAATGATAAATCATGTTAAAAGATAGAATGCTGTCTTATCATTTAAATTATGGATGAATGTAAACCTTTAAAAATATGCTTCAAAAAAAAATTAAACAATATTTTTTTTCTTCCAGATATGTATATAGCAATACGTGGTAGGATTTACCACTCTAAAACAGTTTTTTTGTAAAGAACACAATCTTACGGTAAACATTGCTTTTTGTGATCGATTACTTATCATCATAGTTTTGGTTTTCAAAAAACTAGTTCATAGTGTTCAAAATACGTCCAAACGTTTACGTTACCCTTATCCCCCCTTTTCTACTTCATGATTGAGAATATCTATTTGTATCAGGAGGATAAACCATTGAAAGAGCAATGATATTGTTTTATCAGTATTTTACTGAGAGAATTCTCACAAACCTCATAAAAATTTCATTTCAATAAGAGATGTTCTAGACTTTAGAGAGAAGGGGAGGAGTAGAGAGGAATAGAGAGGACGGAGTAGATAGATAGGGAGAAGGATGAGAGCCAGTTCGACACAAGTACGTTTACCAACGAAAACAAACATTTTTAGAGGTGTTAAATTTATTGCTAAAATAAAAAGCAGGTTATTTTTTTGTAATGATGTAGCGTTAAAATGAGAGTCTTTTTCTGCAAACAGTCACGTGATTCGACGTACCGGGTCAAATTCCTCTCCACTTCCAACTACTCCATTAGTAGATAGAGAGCCGAGACAAAGTGGAAAGATGGAGAATATTTATATTTCCGAAGATCAAAGAAAGATAAATGATGAAGAATAAACGAGATATTTGTATTTTCAGAAAATTGTTCTTCCGACTCTTATGTTTTAAAAGTAAGAAAGCTACAGAGAGAGAGATCTTGTGTTTATCCTCTGGAAGAGAGGATCGAAGATATAAATGTTACTTTTTTAATCCCACGAAATGACGGGCTTACGTCGGAAAATATTCAATGGTAATTACTATTTATCTTACTTCTATCTGTTGCGTCTATAAGGAGAAAATTGTTAAAACGACTCATACCGAAGAACTTAGCGTCCATACAAATTCAGAAAGTTGCAATATTCGACTCGGATAGTTAAAAAATAAATTTAATTCCAAACAAATCATTCAGATATTACAACCTATAATCATCGATTTTTTTTCGACGCATTCTTATAAGGTTGATATTTCATAATATATTTTTTTTATGATCTGAGAGTTACGTTTGAAAACATTCATTCCTGTTTCGAAGATTTTTGAAAATGAAGACGACATTTTCATATTTTCCATCAAGAATGTTCGAAAATCCAGCGTCAGCCGTGAAAACAATTTGTAACCGAAATATTAATTTAATGAATTATCAACTATATACGAATAGGTCGTAATATCTGAATAATTTGTTTGGAATTAAATTGATTTTTTTACGATCCGAGTTAAATATTGCAACTTTCAGAATTTCTATGTGGACGCAACGTTCTTTGGTATGAGTCGTTTTTAACAATTTTCTCCTTATAGACGCAACAGATAGAAGTAAGACTAGTAGCAATCACCATCGAATATTTTTTGACGTTAGCCTATACCCCCTTTCATTTTTCGCAAACACTCCTTTTAAGTGAACTTTCATTTAAAAAAAGAGGGTCACAAAATTCACAAAACCTATAAACCTGTATCCGATAAAAACCTTGAAAAGTGTTTAATTTCCTCCAATGTTTCTGAAGAGCTAAAAACAGTTGAAAATAATCAATTTTCAATCAGCTTTAAAGGTACTGTTTTGAATTATGTAAAAACAGTTCCTGTCAAAAACCTAATTTTTGTTTTCTGACACACCCTTCTTTTCTTGAAAAGCAATATGGACAAGTAAAATAACATAAAATTGCTCTGTGTAAAATGTGTATAAAGTAGCAGAGGTTCTGTAAATGAAGAATAATAAATGAAGAACTGTAAATAATTGATAATTTACTAAACTTTTCACTTCACGATAAAACGATTGTGTATGCAACTGGAAATTGTAATTCCACTTTTCTCTGGGAAATTTTTATATTTTCTTTACTGATACAATCTATATAATATCATTTACGCAGATATAGGTTTACCAAGGTAGGATGAGACTTAAATAACGGCATAAAATTCTTTAATCCAAAAGTTAAATCAGGTCTTTTGCAGTTAACCTTTAAGTGAAACATTCGGATTTAAAGAAATGTGATTTTTTAAAAATGCACTTTTATTTGTGAAGTCTTCTTGTTTAGGGTACCCAGTTCCAGTAGTGATAAATAATTCATATAGCGCTTTAAAGTCAATTTGAAATGTAAATACTTTAAACTTTTATTGTAGGATTTTTTAAAATTTAGAAAATTAAAAAAGATTTTATCAGAAATTTTTTAATTTTCAAATTTCTAATTAAGTTATTAAGTTTATTTATCGTTGAACTACATTCTTACTGAATATCTATCGTCCATAAACTATCTCCGGACGAAACAAAGACTAGGACTCCTAGGACAATAGAAAATTGGCCCGAAATAGTAGACAGAGTAGGACAAGGAGGACAAATAGGAAAAGTAGAATAAGTAGGACAAGGAGGAAAAGTAGGACCAGAAGGACAAGTAGGACAAGTAGTAAATGTAGGAAATGTAGGACATATAAGACAAGTAGGACAAATACGACAAGTAGGACAAATATGACAAGTAGGACAAATATGACAAGTAGGACAAATAGGACATGTAGGACTTGAATAGTATTTAAAAGTAGAAAGTGGAAAAAAGCAGGATTAATAGGACGGAGCACATCGGAGCTGGAAGGATGAATCTTCAGTCCAGGGACCTCCAGATCTAAACAGAAACATTATTATCTTAAAAAAAGGTTTAATTCAGACATTTTACTACATTATCTAACACCACATATCCGCAAGGAACTTCATATCGAAATCACAATTGAAAATATTCTCATATACATATGATGATTATGATGAATTGTTGTAATAACAAGATAAAGATGAGAATACCTTGTAACTCCTGATCCACGTCTCCAACCCTGGTGAGCATCTGCAGGACAGGATAGTTTACTGTTTCCGCCAGCAGACAGCTCCGCAGCACTCTCCTTTCCTCCAACCTAGAATATCAGGAGTAAAAATGTTCTTAATATTCTCTGGGCTTAATTTACCTGTGGAGAAATCAACCATTGTTTGTTGGTTGGTTCCCAGTATAGATATCTAGGAAGCAGAGCAGCTGTGGGAGCAGGTTTAGACGGAACTGGAGTTGTTGTAACTCTAATGATAGGGATAATTGTGGTGGTAACAGGAGAACCCCACTTTGTAGTGTAGGTTCCTGAACCTGAGGGTTGATATCCACCTACTCCGGGTGGTCGGATAGTAGTACTTGTTCTCCAGTCATATACTCCGGCTACTCCATAGTTCCAGGGTAGTTTAGTAGTTGTAGTTCCTCCACCATCCACTCTACCAATAAACCTCTTTCTCCGGGTTCCACTGCTTGATCTAGGAATAAACTCAGAAGTACTTCTCCGCTCCAGGTCCTGTTTATAGTAGGGCTTTCCATCCCAGATTCCTTCATATAGATATACTCCGAGAAGATACGAAAACTGACTATATCCGGACGGATCTGAACCACTAGGAACGTAGAGAAGCTCTATGCGAGGGGAAGAGCAAACACAACCCTGGTTTGTGAGTATCTGAGCTTGTGTAACTTCAACCTTCTGCTGTTCCTTAAACTGAGATTTTCTCGTTCTCGTATTTTTGTTCGCTTTATCGTTGGCCACGGTTTCAAGTCTGTTTGCATAAGCATCCATAGCCTCCATATAGTCAGGGAGACAGGATTCAGGAACAGGACTGTTGGGTTGAGTTGTAACCCTGTGCTTTCCTCCACCTATAAACTCAACCAGGATGACAGAGGTAAGAGGTGGTGGGATAAAATCATCAATATCAGCCAGAGTTTGCAGTTCTAAACCTGAAATCTTTCCAATTTCTTTATCCTGTGGATTGATTATTCTCATCTCGAACACATACTCTTTGCAGGGTTCGATTGGAACAAGAACTTCGACAATATCGGAGGAGAAAGGAGGATTTTTCTTCACAGGTCCAGCGGCCTAAAAACAATGAATAGTATTTTAAGATTTTCAAAAAAAAAATTAAAAGTTCACCTTCGGAGCAATGTCTGTTGACATTCTGAGAAACTGTTTAGAGAAAGCAGATCTTGAACCCCAGAAACTAGGTTTATCATTACCACTGTATCCGGGTCTACTTGTTGAACTGTAGTCTGGTCTAGCTGTTGTCGAGTAGCTCCAGCCTCCGCCTGGTTTATCAGTTGGAGGCCGTCCTCCGGGATTGTATCCCCAAGTTGTGGATCCAGGTCGACTTGTAGTTCCAGGATTATATCCTTGACCTCCTTGGCCTCCAGACCCCGGATTATATCCTCCCTGGCCCCCAGCGCCGGGATTATATCCTCCTTGGCCTCCGGCGCCCGGATTATATCCTCCCTGGCCTCCAGAGCCAGAATTATATCCTCCTTGTCCTCCAGCGCCCGGATTATATCCTCCTTGGCCTCCAGCGCCCGGATTATATCCTGCTTGGCCTCCAGCGCCCGGATTGTATCCTCCTTGGCCTCCAGTGCCCGGATTATATCCAGCTTGACCTCTGGACCCCGAATTATAACCTCCATTCTCGTATGCCCATCCTCTGGAAGGTTTCCCTCCATTTCCTCCGACATTTCTCCCTGTACCGTATGGTTCCCAAGTATATTCTCCGAACCTTGGTGATATCTCATTAGAAGGATAAGTTGCAGTAGTAGTTACAGGAGCCGGAGTAGATCCTGTTCTCTGAGCAGAAGATAACCCCGCAGCTCCGGATTTCCGAGTCCCAGTAACCTCCACATGCTTGATACAGCTGGCGAAGGTTATGAATTTAGTCTCAAACTTGACGCTTGCCTTTGTCAGGTCGAATTGTTTGGAGACAGGATCCTGGTAATATCCGAGAGTAAAGTGTTTAAGAACATCATTACTGTTAAAACTAGGTAGAGCTGCACTGTTATATCGAGCAGTTTCACTGGGCTTTAAATCTCTGTTACTTGAATCATCTTCTTCCAACTCTATGCTATATACAGAAATAAGAATAATAAAGGAATTGAGTCTTTCCCACAAACTCTGATTTTCTTACATCTGTATCTTTGCAACCCAATGTCATAGACCTTTGATATTTCAAACTACAGCCATAACCAGAAAACTGTGGAATATGAAGACGACATTACAGCATTTCTGAAGTGTATTTGATGTTGTTTAAAGCATATAGCTTAAGTAAAATGGGTCTATTTACACTGAACAATTGCTGTGCCTCATGGTCAATGTGCTATTAAAAGTCATAACTTGAGTTTAAAAGTCGACTTCCTATTCCAGAGTTTTCACTGTATGACTTCTTTTACACGATAAGGTTCCAAAGAAAAAGGGATGAGCAAATTTGAGTTTGTGGCAAAAACTCAAGTCCTTTCCTTAAAGTTGGTTTTAGTATAGGAGCATTTGTTGTTCCTCACATTTAAGAAATAGATAAAAGGAACTCCCACACCCTTTCAAAAATCAAGTGTCTGGCAGAAATTTAAACAAAGCTTAACTTGAGAAGCGCTACGTTTGTTTGCAGTCCTTAAACGGAGTTTCTCCACCCTCGTATATTCTTTGCAAAGCTTAAAATGTTGGTCACCATATCGGCTAATTTTATCAGTTTAGCAAAGAAATATGAAGGAACTCCGATTAAAAAGAGTGTACTGCAGTTTCTGGGAGGAATGTAAACACATGAACAGTGCTGCCCAGGCTACGCTTTTTTTACATTCCATCCAAAAATTGCAGTACACGTGAGTAGTTTGTTCTGACCTGAAATAATGGAAAACACATGGTTCAATATCAACAATCTTTGTTTGCGTATTTTTGTCTGGGATAATAAACTTCCTCCCTTGACCCTTCTGCTGACCATCCTTCCAGACCCATAGATAGTATTTATCCACACATCTAAACATAGATAGTATTTATTCACACATCTAAACATAGATAGTGTTTAAACATGAAATATAAAAAACATAGTTTTAATGTAGCATTAAAGCTCAGTAACAAAATTTAAAGAAATTCTTTTGTGAAATGGACTGTGCAATTTAATTATGTTTCTCATTAAAACAGTTAAAAGACGACTTTTATTCAGCTTTATGGTACAAAGGTGTCTCACTAAAAATTACGATTGAGGAACGATTTAAAGGTCGTCTTTGATTTTTGACGGACATTATTAAAATTAATAGCTTTCTGTAATATGACGTGAACTCTGAAAAGCTTATGAGTCATGACATCCTTTTGCCTTTAAATATTGATCCTTAACCCGTCTCTCAATTGATTCGCATAGGATCTACAGTTAACTACAGTAAAAACCAAAAACGGTAGAATTCGACTTTCTTGTCTTTAAATCATAAAACGACGTCATAGATATTATGCATTTTGCAACTGAACACATGTAGAGATATAAAAGTAGCAAAAATTACATGATTTATCCAATTAAAAGAAAGAACTAAGACGACATTAAATTCCACAAATATCTGGTCCTCACTGTATCATTAATTACTAAAATATTATTACTTGCTGTTTTTGATAATCGCACTCCAGTCCACAAGAACCTTACTAGGGTCCGTTTTAGAGGTCTGACTCACTTTAGGGGTTCCCTGAATTCAAAATGGCTTTATGGTTTATATTGTTACAAAGGAAATAGTTTTACTATTAACTTATTAAATAACGTAAAAGGGGTCTGTTTACATTGCACAATAGCTGTGTCTCATGTTCATTGAACTATTTAAATTGAGTTTATTAAAGTTGCCTAGACCTATTCCAGAATTTTATGTTTCTTACTGTATTAATAGTGTATTTTATAATGAAAAAGAAATGAAATTTTTTTGTTAACATGTTTTAAAAAAGTTAAAATTTTTAGAAATCTAAAAAATTGAATAGATACAGTGTAACCAAAAAAGAAGACGACTGTTAAACTCAATTTATAACGGGGAATAGTCCAACGAACATAAAAACGGTATTGTTATATTGTCAATAAGCAACATCCCCCCTACTAAACTTTTGACCTACTAACTTTCCGACCTACTGCAATATCGGACCTACGCCAGATGTTTATTTTTGAATTATTTGAGGGTTAGGTTAGGTTAAGATAATTTTAGGGCCGAGTGCTGCGGCTAAGGGGCCGAGAGCCGCGGCTAGTGGGGGCCATCTAGCAGCTTTAAAACCACGTGTTAGTAGGTCGGATGTGTAGTATATTGGATTAGTATAGGTCAGAAGTGGAGTATAGCGGATTTGCGTAGGTCGAAAGATACACCATCCATGAAAACATTAATTGTGCAGTGTAACTGTACACAGACAAATACGTAATAAGTTGATTTTCAACCTAGTGGTAAAACAATTTGCTTTCAAAACAACATCAAATACAATTCAGATTGATAAAATGTCGTCTTCCTTTTCCAAAATTTTATTGCTCCCACAGTAGAAAGAAATTAGGTTGATTTAAAACAAATGAAAGGTTGGCATTAAATTGAAATACATGAAATACAAAAACATAGCTTTAATACAACATTAAAGCTCAGTAACAAAATATAAAGAAATTCTTTTGTGAAATGGATTGTTTTGTTAAAGGGACTGAATACGATTTTTGAAAATTTTGAGGTAAAGGGACTGTACGCGCAATTTCAAGTGACCCATCAAGCAAAGATGGCAAAACCCAATTTACAACGGTGACCTTGAAACAATAGTCTGATCAGACATATAGAAGATAACGTCGTTTTCTCGACTCGAAAAAGTGCTTAATTCTTGAAATTTCTTCATCGCTCCTGATAAGCAAGAAATGCACAATTCACTTTTGAAGAGAAAACACAAATGAAGATAAACAGCTTTTTAAAAAAATTTGGATATCTGGCATTGCCATCTTTGCATAGAGGGTCAATTTTCTAAAAAACTTTTACTTAAAGTAAAAGTACCCAGGATTCAATCCTGTAAAAAGGACAGAGTTTGCTCGAAAAATACATCCCGATCGTTAGTGCCATGGTCGGCACCTCCCGGCTCATCATGGCTAACAACTGGCTCAATCAAAGAAACACTCAGAAAACTTTCAATACTTTCCTAAATCATACTTGATCAGCTTGATCAGACAAAGCTTTTAAGGGTATCGTTGTAAATCTGACATTGCCATCTTTGCATAAAGGGTCAATTGAAGTTACGCTTGCAGTCCCTTTAAGTATTGATTTTAGCAATAAATAAGATTTCTAGGTTTCTTTAAAGTTCCAACCTTATCCCACTTAGCACTTGAGATATAGCAGGAAGAATATACAGCTGATATAAGGGATAGGAGGAGCAGGAGCAGGATTGATCCTTGCATCCTGATCATCAGATCTCTACTGAACACTTCTCAGGGTATCATCTTCCACTGAGGGTGAAGAAAATTGGACATTTTTTAATTTTAAGAATCATCGTAAACTAATACTCTTTTTATTTTCATTCCTGATCCTGATAATCATCTGGTGAAAAACTATAGTTAATATCAACCCTTTAAATTTCCCGATATCTAACAAAATCCACGAAAATGAGTTCACCATATGTGGACTTTAATTCTGCAAAAACAAGTTTATGTCAAACAAATATTGACTTTTATACTTATTTTATGCATAACCTACATTATCGTAAGAAAAGGATTTTTTTTTCAAATTGTAAATTTGAAAATTAAAAACACGTAAACCTGCAAACCAATAAATTGCAAACATGTAAACATGTAAAGCCTATAAATCTCAAGCATGTAAACATGTATACCTATCAATTGCAAACATGTAAACATGTAAACCAATACACTGAAAACATGCAATCATGTAAACCTATAAAGTTGCAAACATGCAAACCTGTAAACCTATAAATTGCAAATATGTAAACCTGTAAACTATAAAAATGAAAACTTTTAAACCTATAAATCTATAAATTGCAAACATGTAAACCTATAAAGCTGCAAATATGTAACCCTATAAAATTGCAAACATGTAAAGATGTAAACCTATAAAAATGCAAACATGTAACTCTATAAAACTACAAACATTAAACCTGTAAACCTATAAAAATGAAAACTTGTAAACCTGTAAGCTTATAAATTGCAGACATGAAAACCTTTAAAGCTGCAAACATGTAAACCTGCAAAGCCTACACAATTCTCCGGCAATCTGCGATCTTTAAATCTACGATCTTAAATCTGCTGTCTTTAAATCTACGATCTTAAATCTGCTGTCTTTAAAACTGATATCGTTAAATCTGCTGTCTTTAAAACTGATATCGTTAAATCTGCTGTCTTTAAAACTGATATCGTTAAATCTGCTGTCTTTAAAACTGCGATCTGGAAATCTACAAATCCACAAAAATCTTCCTCAGCTCTGTATATATATGTATGATATCAAGCTATAAACTAAATAAAGGGACTGTAAGCGTAATTTCAAGTGACCCTCCATGCAAGGATGACAATGTCCGATTTACAACCGTACCCTGAAAAGCTTTGTCTGATCAAGTATGAATTATATATTCATGTTTATAAATTCAAAAACTAATTATTTTCAATTTGTCTTTGGCAAATTTGTATGGAGGGTCATTTGAAATTACGTTTCCAGTCCCTTTAACCTTATATATTTCAACCTGAAAGCATAGAACCTGCAAATTATGCTTTGAAATGATAGTTTTTAAAAACAAGGCTCAAATGTCGAAAATATCTTATTGCTGTAGAAAGACTTATTAAAGGAATAATGTGATATACAAATAAGAATTTTCGCATATAAGTATATCTTTGCACGCTGTACGCCTATGAAATCTGCTGGATCAAATAGCCAAAGTATGAAAATCAAATAGCTAAAGTATGAAAATCAAATAGCCAAAGTATGAAAATCTAATAGCTAAAGTATGAAAATCAAATAGCCAAAGTATGAAAATCAAATAGCTAAAGTATGAAAATCAAATAGCTAAAGTTTGAAATATCAGTGGTTTATAAGATTAACAAGATCAAGATATAAGAGTGAGAAAACAGAATTTACACAGCTAGAATTTGCAAAGGGATTCGCCAATAAGTTGCACCTTGCAAAAATAAAACTATTAGCAAATTAGATTTGCGTATATTGTAATAAACTCCTCTTAAAATCTTTTAATTCAGGAACTTAATAATACAATTTAATAACAGACAGACACAAAACAAGACAAGACAAAATTTTTAAATAATTTAAATAATAATAAATTAAGATTCACATTCTAACAGATCAAAACTAAAAATTTTTACCAAAATATTTGAACTGAATTCGAATTTCTATTTACTAATTTATCCTTCACTAGGTTTACTACACAAAGGGTCCCTTCTATTCAGGGTTCCCTTCCCTGGGGTTCCTTTTACAAGGGTTCCCTTCACAAGGGTTCCTTTTACTAGATTTCCTTCACTAGGTTTCTATCACATAGGGTTCCTTTCAGTACTAAGGTTCCTTTCAATAGGGTTAACTTCACTAATGTTTTCTTCTCACATGTTCCTTTCAATAAGGTTTCTATCACTAGGGTTCCCTTCAGTACTAAGGGTTTCTTCACTATAGGTTCCCTTCACAAAGTTTCCCTGTACGTTGTAGTTCTCTCCCTTCGCCAGGGTTTCCTTCTCAGAGGGCCCTTCAGTATTACGGTTCTCTTACTAGGTTTCCTTCACAAAGGGTCCCTTCACCAGGATTCCCCTCACTAGGGTTCCTGTCACTAAGGTTCCTTTCACTAGAGTTTCTTTTAATAAGGTTCCTTTCACTAGGGTTCTCTTCACTAGGGTTCCTTTCACTAGGGTTCCTTACCCACTAGGGTTCGTTTCACTAGGGTTCGTTTCACTAGGGTTCCTTTCACTAAGGTTCCTTTTACTAGGATTTCCCTCGCTAGGGGTCCCTTCAGTACTAAGGTTCCCTTCAGTTCTAAGGTTCCTTACACTAAGAAGGGTCCTTCACTAAGGTTCCCTGCGCTATGGTTCTCTCTCTTCACTTTTTAGTTTGACAGGATAAAGCTGATTGTACTTGAGTTGATTCCTGACTAGATGCTTCTCCAGGTCCCCGAACACCAGTGGTGGAGGGGTACCCGGAGTCCAGGATTCATCTCCTTCTGAAATCAATCAAATATTAATCAACGTATTCCTTTTTTGTAATTATTTGCTCTGCAATTTTGTCCCTTTTATAATAATTACAAAGGATAAAATTAATAATCTGTTCGGGGCCATGGACCAAACCATGAAATTAGTATTTGGTAATATTTTATATATTTAATTCAAAATATGTTTTACAATTTTTAGAAGATATCGGTTCACAACCAGGGAATAGGAATAAAGGGAAGGGTAATGGCGCTGGTCTGGCATGCTAAAGCCAGTCGCACTGCTTTGCAGACGAGTTGGGTATTACACACGCACACTCTTTTGGTACAGACACACAACATGACTACAGTCAAGGAAATTGCAGAAAAATGTCATCAATTTTATTTATGCTTGAATAACGAATAATGTATTGTAAAGTTTAATCAAATTATATTCTTTGCATGAAAATTTGGCTTATAGTGTTGACTTAAATACGTAAATAATATATTACATGTATATTAAACTTTTTTTAAAGTAAACAATTAACAATAAACAAATGCACTCTCCGAGACTGTACAAATACCGAGATTCTTATGTACTGTATGGCAACCGCAAAAAAAGTCCTTGGAAAAAAAGTTTCCGGAAAAAAGTCTTAAAATTTCACACTAAAAATCCTCTGGAAAAAAGTCTCCGGAAATAAGGTCCTACCAATTCGAGACTTTATTTTCTAGGACTTTTTTTCTGGCTCCAGTATGTATTTTAGGAAAAAAAGTTCCAGGAATCCAAAACACAGGACTTTATTTCCAGTGACATTTTTTCCAAGGACTTGAGAATATTCTGACTTTTTTCCAAAGTTTTTATTTCCAGGTTTTTTTTCCAGACATTTTTTTCCCGGGACTTTCTTACATAAATTCGTACTGTATATACCTACAGTACACGCCTTCGGTTCGGTATTCCTTACAAACACTCTTTTGGTACAGACACACACACATGACGTTTCCGCCCCTGTTCACAACGTATCTCCACGTTGTCTGCGGGGTACATGTACAGTACACGTTTCGAATTTTCTGTACGCTTCCTTTAAAGTGCAGTAATTGAACCAGTCTCATTCTTCAAGTCTACATCATAGATAGATAGATTGCGCACAAGACGACATTTCTCAATCTAACAGAAATAAATATACACAGACGTTTGATAGACATTCTATATTTATAGATTTTTTGGGTTAGTTGTGAACATTGACTGTCGTAATGTCATTAAGTACATGCGATGTATGTACATGAGTTCTGAAGAAAGCAATTTAAATTTAGTTTATTCGTCTTCAACTTATATCTATTATATCTATAATATCTATAATATCTATTATATCTATTATATCTATTGTATCTATTATATCTATTATATCTATTATATCTATTATATCTATTATATCTTTATATGTTCTACACAGAAATAAGAGAGTACATAGATCTATTAAAAGCTAAAATATTCGATAGTTACGTTGTGTATTGGGTACACGACCTATAAACAGACGTCTATATTCAGGGATATTTTAGGATCCTTTGGATACGAAATATAAAACCTTCAAAAATAGACTAAATTCATAAATTACGTTGTTACCAGTTTAAAAATTGTAAAACTTAACCCTTGAATTGGTATTATATGCAATAAAACCCTTTCGTGAAAATGTAGCATGTCGTGCCAGTACAACCATAGGGCTACGTAGGCCACCCTCTGAAAGCAGATAAACAGTCTCTCTAAAAATATCTATTCCGTGGTTCTACATGTACAGGAGAAGATTTAAAGTCTTGAATATTGTTCTGTTTCCTTTTAAGACGAATATTTGGTGTTTGCTGAGTATGTTTACAATGCACTCTAGGGAGAAATATAATGAGACAAGAAAACAAAATGAGAACAAGTTCAGATGAAAACCTCTATATAGTCTTCATTATGGAATGAGAGGATCTCTGAAAACCCGCTGTACCGTACCGCTGTACTGTACCGTACCGCTGTACTGTACCGTACCGTACCGTTGTACCATACCATACCGTTGTACCGTACCGTACCGTACCGCTGTACAGTACCGTATCGCTGAACCGTACCGTACCTCTATACCGTACCGTACCGTACCGTTGTACTTCCGTGAATTTCGGGATTTTTAACAACGTTTACACTCCCTTTACAGAATATTTCTGAATTGTTTAAAGCTGTTCATGTGACCTTGTTTACTAATTATTATTAGATTACAGGTTTGCACATATCATTAGTTATTCTTCTCTAAATTATTCTTACTTTGCTTCTACAATATTAGATTACTCCTGGAGTAGGTTTCCTTCTAATATTTACCTTGGTTCTACAGTATTAGATTACTTCTGGAGTAGGTTACCCTGGTTCTACAGTATTTGATTACTCCTGGAGTAGGTTTCCTTCTAATATTTACCCTGGTTCTACAGTATAAGATTACTCCTTAAGTAGGTTTCCTTCTAATATTTACCCTGGTTCTACAGTATTAGATTACTCCTGGAGTAGGTTTCCTTTTAATATTTACCTTGGTTTTCCAGTATTTGATTGCTCCATTTCTTCTTCTCCTGTTCAGTGCTGGAGGTGGAGAAAGGTGGGTATTCTCTCCAGTAGTTATCCCACCAAACCTTTAACAAAGGATCGTTACGAAGAAACTGATGACTCGTCTTTAATCTTAACTTTAATTCTATATTATTGCATCCTGATGTTTTAAATCTAGATATTTCAAACTATAAATTCTGCTAGAGCAAATAATCAAACAGGTTTACACAACCTGGTTGAGAAAATATAAATATTACACAATTTGCTTGTTTTCTTTGCTGCTGACTGTAAATTAAGAAAATAAAGTGTAAAGTTTTGACGAGTAAAATCAAAAATCAAATCTATATTTACTCTGTTTGGGTGTCTGATTGTTTGTATCAAATAAACGTCAAAACGGCTAAACCAATTAGGCCCAAACTTTTTATGGCAAACCTCATATGATCCCAAGGAAGGTTCATGAAAATTTTCTACCAAAACAAAATGGAGACATTTTTTGCGCCAATTTAAATAGATCAATCCGTGAAAATTTGAGAATGTTAAAAATGGAAACTTTTAGAGCAAGGTTTTGAGGCTGAAATTGTTATTGTAATATTTTTAAATATTACAAATAATGATATCCTAATTATAAAGTTTGAATGTTATAGTTGGTATGGTTTCACTTGAATGAATCTGATTTGTTGATGGCCAAACAGTTTCTAAATAATGATCCAAATAATTCTGCCGATTCATCTAAAACCTTTTATTTAACGTAACAAATAATTCAAGGGCACCCCCCCCCCCCGGTTGGCGTATAGCACCAGTGATTATAAAAAAAAACAATATGCATAACTTGAAGAACACACAGCATACATTAATTGATTTATAAAGTAAAAAATAGTTCAGATATGATTGGGTCAAAAATAAAAATCTAATTCTTATGAAAAAATAGCAGAAATTAATTTGTACTGTGCTGCCTTCTGGAATTGATGGGGTTTAAAACCGAGCTAAGACGATGCCCGTGGTTCTCCCGAGTTCCCCAATCATAATTTGAGACGAATTGGTCAAGGGGTTTATGAGCTATGATCGGACATAAAAACAGACAAACAGAGATTACTACTTAATGTATATAGATGATTTACCTTGTCATTGTCAACTGAAGGATTTCCTTGTCTTTTCCGAGATTTAGAAAATTGTTTTTTGGTGCTATTTCTAGATCCATATGTTTGAGTTTTAATACTATTCCTAGACCTTGAAGGTTGAGTTTTAGCACTATTCCTAGATCTATATCCAAAACCTTGAAAAATGGAACTATCTCTAGAGGGTTCATGTTTGTTGATGGTAGATTCTAGAATGTTCTGATCCGTTCGTCGTTGACTGACATTAATCTTCTGTCCATTATGTTCTGCTGTAGAATGTGAGTTTAGTTTGTTTCTATCATCTCTAGGAGCACTTTCACGATACACTGGATTGGATATTCTTCTTGAACCCTGGAGCTTATCCAGGATTGAGGTTGGAACACGTTCTTTTCTCCGGGTTGTATATGGAGCAGGTAGTTTCTCTGGTCTGTATAAAGGCCCTGTTCCTCCGAATCTGTTACTAGAGCTGAACGAACTAAGAACCCTGGTTCTCATTTCTCGGATCATCTGACCCATCCTACGGATGATGGAATACGGAAAGTTGAGAACATCGTCCCCGGCTCGTCGTATTTTTATCCCAGCTAGAGAATACATCTTACCAGCAGTCTGTACACCATCAACAATCACTTTCTGAAATACAATTAGTAATTAACGATTTTATTGATGGGTTGATGAACGGTCTCGACAAAATGTGAAATTTAGGGAAAATCATGATTTGATGATAAACAATACTATACGAAGTGTTTCAAGAGCTGCAAGCTCCCACGCAAAAACCGATGAGACTTTTTCAATTTTCTTCATCAAAAATAATACTAAAACCAAGTGCTGGGGAGTCCTAAAATGTACATGTACATGTCTAGGCTCACAAAAAAGAAAAGTGAGTCAGTTAAATAAATAAAAGGATAAGTGAGCCAGCTAAGTAAAATAAAGGATATTTGAGTCAGTTAAGTAAAATAAAGGATATTTGAGTCAGTTAAGTAAAATAAAGGATATTTGAGTCAGTTAAGTAAAATAAAGGATAAGTGAGTCAGTTAAGTAAAATAAAGGATAAGTGAGTCAGTTAGGTAAAATAAAGGATAAGTGAGTCAGTTAAGTAAAATAAAGTATAAGTGAGTCAGTTAGGTAAAATAAAGGATAAGTGAGTCAGTTAAGTAAAATAAAGGATAAATGAGTCAGTTAGGTAAAATATAGTAAAAGTGAGTCAGTTAAGTAAAATAAAGGATAAGTGAGTCAGTTAGGTAAAAGAAAGTATAAGTGAGTCAGTTAAGTAAAATAAAGGATAACAGAGTCAGTTAGGTAAAATAAAGTGTAGGTGAGTCAGTTAAGTAAGATAAAGGATAAGTGAGTCAGTTAGGCAAAATAAAGTATAAGTGAGTCAGTTAAGTAAAATAAAGGATATTTGAGTCAGTTAGGTAACATAAAGGATAAGTGAGTCAGTTAAGTTAAATAAAGGATAAGTCAGCCAGTTAAATAAAATAAAGGATAAGTGAGTCAGTTAAGTAAAATAAAGGATAAGTGAGTCAGTTAAGTAAAATAAAGGATAAGTGAGTCAGTTAAGTAAAATANTAACGGAACAGAAATGGAATCACTCTGTCCTGAGAACGCCATATCAACATAAATCTTAGGAATAACAATAATCCTACTCCTACTCCCACTTTGCTCCTGGTCTTGTCTCCTGCCCGAGGTTGGTCTTCTCCGGTTAGGTTTCAGACCTCGAGCTCCAGGTGGAGATATTCCTTTATCTTTTGGTGGAGAGAAAATTGGTTTATAGAACACCATTCCGTCCACTCTTCTGTTACTATAAATATAGAGTTTATCAAAACTGTTAGATTAAAAGAATTCTTCTTGTTATTTTTACCTGGAGGTTTGTTGTCTAAAATCTTTCTCGGGTTGAACATTCGGAAGTTCATATCTTCGGAAGGTTTGTTCAGTTATCTGATCAGGATCCGTCCGGACTGTAACAGGTTTTAATAGTTTCTCCGGGTTAGATTTATCAGCTGGGAAATCCTCTTGCTGCTCTTGGTTGGTTTTTGAAGCTGCTAGATCCTTCGGTCGTTCCAGGTTGGTTTGTACAGCTTCTGGATCTTCTATCTGCTCCGGGTTGGTTGGTGCAGCTGCTGGGTCCTCTATCTGCTCCGGGTTAGTTGGTGTAGCTGCTGGGTCCTTTATCTTCTCCGGGTTCGTTTTTGTCACTGATAGATCCTCCGGTCGTACCGCGTTGTCCGGATCCGCCATACCTTCCGAGTTGGGGTTTGTAGGATTTTTAATACCATCTGGTTCATCCACTCCGGTTGTGGAATCCTGCTTGTCTAGATTAGTTTCCGGATCAACACTACGATTTGCAGTGTTTATTACTGGATTAGAGCTGCTTGAATCAGTTACCGGATTTACTTTCCGCTTTCGGTTGGTTTGTTTGGAAACAGAATCCATCATTTGCTGAGAGATTGATGGTTCAACTTCCGGATGGACTTTATTCTCCGGGTTGGTTGCTCTACTCATCGGATCCGGGTAGTTGGGACTGGATACCGGATCCGGGAAGTCGGGACCGGTTACCGGATTCACCTCACGCTCCGTGTAAGTTTGCCCGGTAACTGGGTTCCATTTATTTACCGAATCTACTCTGCGTCCTAGGTTGGTATGTTTTATTACCGTTTCTGGGAAGGATAATCTTGTGTTGGGAGTAACTCTACGTCCCAGGTTGGTTTGTCTTGTTCCAAGCTCTGCTCTACGCCTTGGGAAGGATGGTCTAGTTTCTTGATTACCAATTATCTCCGGGTAGGGTGGTCTAGTTGCATGATCACTTATTAGCTCCGGGTAGTGTAGTCTAGTTGCATGATCTCCTATTAGCTCTGGGTAGTGTGGTCTAGTTGCATGATCTCCTACTAGCTCTGGGTAGTGTGGTCTAGTTGCATGATCTCCTATTAGCTCTGGGTAGTGTGGTCTAGTTGCATGATCTCCTACTAGCTCTGAGTAGTGTGGTCTAGTTGCATGATCACCTACTAGCTCTGGGTAGTGTGGTCTAGTTGCATGATCTCCTATTAGCTCTGGGTAGTGTGGTCTAGATATCGGATCCACTATAAGCTCTGTGAATCTAACTGGTGGAGTTGTGTTCCATGCTGGCTCCGGAGAAGTAGATGAGGTAGGGAAGGGCGTGGGAGGAGTATGCGGCTGGAAACCCCAAACCCTGTCAATATCATCCGGAGAGGATCTTACATCTTGATCATCAGGATGTAGGAGGAATTTAGGCCAAGGAACTGTGGTCGTTCTTCTTCCCTGGAATATCAAATCATGTTTAACAGTTTAAACCAGAACTTCGGAGAATTTGAAAGAATTTATAAAATGTCGTTTTCTAAACCTGATAATGGAATGCTGCAGATTTAAAGTTCTTCAATTGAATAATCATATGGAGGTCTTTAAAACTTCATGGCTAATTATTATTTATACAATTACTTAGATTTAGTTTTAACAGTAAAAGAAAACTTCGAAAAATTGTTAAGAAGAGGGATTTTACAAATTCTTTTGATGTCTTCGAAAGTTCTGCAGTTAAACTGTTTTTAATATTTAATTGTTTAAAGATTCAAGTAGCAAGTGAATTTACAGGAAATTTAGCACTACTAATAGCTTTTTTTTGAGTAATAGACGTCAGTAAATAACGATATTATGAAAAAAGTCAGCGTAAAATCTTATTCAATTCATCCTTTATCTTTGCAACCCGATGTTGTAAACCTTTTGATATGTCACACTTTAACTATTTTACCCAGCATAATATAACAGAATACAACTGCATCTGAGGCCGAATTTAAAGAATTTAAGCCGCGGCTCAAATGTACGTGGTTGGTTCCACTTAAAATCGTATTCATTGTTTCAAGATTTAACGTTGGTGCCCAATTGAAACTGGTTTTTGGCGGATTTAAGACGCGGCTCAAATTCATTAAATTCGGACACAGGCTGCATAAATAAGAACTAGAAAGCAACGGTATGAGGTGAGTAATCTCTTTATTTGAATGTTTAAAGAAAATTATTTACCTTGTGTTTAATCTGATCTTGTTTATGAAGTGAAGACTGTAGGGTCTGTAAACCCAAAACAAAACCTTGATGCAACAGTTTTTATAAATCAATAATTTTACTGTAAGCGTAATTTAAAGTGACCCGACATACAAAGATGTGGAAGATATTGTCGTTTTTTTCTAGGCTTTAAAATGTTTAATTTTGATCATTCCAATCTGTTTTCCTGCAGTAGTAATGCGTAAGTCACTTTTGCAGAGAAGTGTAAAATCAGTTTTCCAAATTATAAATATGGAAACCTAATTCATAATTAATCAGACAAAGATTTTAAGGTTTGTCGTCTTTGCATTGAGGTTTAATTGAAAATACATATTTAGTCCCTCTAAGCGGGATCCTTTGTTGAATTTAATATTAATTTCAAAAAGCTGTGCCATTCCTAAATTTGCGAGGAGGATTAGAGAACGCATGATGATCAACCAAAAAAAAGTTTATTNAACCCTTCCAAATACACATATACACTCCTAATCCTACCCTTCCAAATACCCATATACACTCCTAATCCTACCCTTCCAAATACACATATACACTCCTAATCCTACCCTTCCAAATACACATATACACTCCTAATTCTTCCAAATACACATATACACTCCTAATCCTACGCCATTTCCACTTTTCCAATTATCTTTTAATAATTTTAGAGGACTAACTTCTGGAAGACGACATATGAACATGTCTTCTCTGATTTTCAACAGAAGGTCCGTAATTCGTTGATAATATCGTAGACAAACAATAAACAGTTGAAAGAGTTAACACAGATTCTTTTTTATCTAAATATCTTGTTAAAAGTATACGGATAAAGTAGAGTAGAAAAGTCAATCTGCGGAATTAAATCAAATTTAAAGTTTAATTCTTCTTGTTAATATCTGAATGATTTGTTTAGAATTAAATTGATTTGTTTACGATCCGAGTTGAATGTTGCATCTATCTGAATTTGTATGGACACTACGTTCTTCGGTATTAGTCGTTTTTAACAATTTTATCCTTATGGACGCAACATATAGAAGTAAGATTAGTAGCGATCAAAAGTGCCTTTTTATCGCATTAAGTCTATACCCCCTTTAATTTTTTGCAAACACTCCCTTTAATGTCGTCTTCCTATTCCACAATTTTCTGGTTCTCGCTGTATTCAAATTTTCTAAATTAATAATAGATAGGCACATAAAACCTTCTCCTAATTTTCGTGTTTATTGGGACACACTGGACAATATCTCTGCAGTGGGATTATTTCACATTATTTTTGGGACCACAGTACGACGCAGTCAAATCCAATAAAATATTAACATATTTTTTCTAGATAAGATTTTAATTTCCTCTCGACTTTTAACTCTGCACATAAAACGGGAGGAATTCTTACAACTATAAAATTCTTGGTAGAATTCCAAGCTTGAACTGTTGGTTTCATTTGGTGGGACGAATTTACAATATTTTTCAGGTCATGTTGCTTCTTGCTAATTCGAAGAGAATTCAGTTACAGTGAGAATAAGAAAACAATGGAATAGGAAGACGACTTTTAGACTCAAGTTATGACTTTATATATAGTGATGAGCATGAGGTCTTACAATTGTGCAGTGTATACAGAACTTATAAGTCGTTTCTAGTCAATCTATTTGCTTTGTAACAACAGGGAATTATTGTTTTTATGCCGTCTTCCTATTCCACAGTTTTCTGGTTCTTAATGTATAAAAACTACGATCTAAAACATAAGGGTTCAATTCATTCTGGCTTTTATTTAACTCCTGCACTGCAAGCCTCTTGGAACCCCCTGGATATCCCTGGAAACCCCTGGATATATTTAAAACCCCCTGAATATCCCTGNAACTGGAACCCCCTGGATATCCCTGGCACCTCCTGGATATCCCTGGAACCCCCTGGATATCCGTTGAACCCCCTGGATATCCCAGAACCCCCTGTAGAGCACCCTGTCAGCCAACACACCTCCCACCATCATATCAAGTTTTCAGCCATATATCATCAAATCTTTCCTATTCATCCTGGAATGAGATCACATTACTCCAGGTTCAGGATCCTTAAACAAACCTCTCAGCCCTTAGAATCCGACCATTAATAATCAATATTCAAATATTCTCCTCAACCTGTTTGTAAATAGGGTTGAAGCTTTTATTTCTAACATATATCTGACTACGTATGATGCTATCTATGAAGAATTTGCGGACAGATCTGAAGTATTTAGTTCTCTAATATCCACCATACTTTATCTTAATATCTTTCACACGTCAGCGAGCCTTCAAATTCCTTTGTTCACAGGAATACTCAATTCTGACCGGCAGATTTATGTACAGGGTGTCCCAATAAACATGGGAATTAAATGAGGACTTCTATATCGTCTTTGTTTCGCGTGGTATTATTACGTAGCACATTTTTGGTAATATTTCAGTTAAGGCAGTTAATAAACTTGGGAATTCCAAAATGTGTTCTTCCATATTTTCATCTTCAAATTGACGGAGATATTAAGAAATCTGTTCAGATTCTAATGTATTAAATCAATCTTTCAGATGTTAACTATCTTCGTCAATATTGAAGATACAAAGAAGGCATTTCAAAAGCATTTCAAAAGCTCATCATTATTATTTCATCAACTATCGGAAATCGAAGACGATTTTCAAGTCGTCTCTTAATTTTCATGCTTATTGGGACACACTGTGGGAAACATTTTTTAAGTAGTTTTACGACCCATTGCGGAGAAAAGTCAATTCCGACAGAACATCAACATAGACAATCCCAAGAATCAACATAGACAATCCCAAGAATCAACATAGACAATCCCAAGAATCAACATAGACAATCCCAAGAATCAAGATCCTGTTTAAAATGTTTAATTTTGATCATTCCAATCTGTTTTCCTGCAGTAGTAATGCGTAAGTCACTTTTGCAGAGAAGTGTAAAATCAGTTTTCCAAATTATAAATATGGAAACCTAATTCATAATTAATCAGACAAAGATTTTAAGGTTTGTCGTCTTTGCATTGAGGTTTAATTGAAAATACATATTTAGTCCCTCTAAGCGGGATCCTTTGTTGAATTTAATATTAATTTCAAAAAGCTGTGCCATTCCTAAATTTGCGAGGAGGATTAGAGAACGCATGATGATCAACCAAAAAAAAGTTTATTTACTCTGAACTTAAAATTGTCTCCGGTTCGTCCCGAAAATCACTAATCCAAGCCATCGTATATCACTAAACCATAGAAGAACAAGTTCATCAGCTTTCATCTCTCAATGTCCCCTGTTGATATGAGTACCCTGAGCAAGGACGAGGGAAATGTAGATGAGGACAGATATTCATCAACTGCGTGCATTTTGCCGTGTTTTTGTTCATGCCTGGAGAAACAGGATACAAACACCGACACAGGATTCGTTAAACCCTTAATTCCGCTAGATATAATGTTTAAAAGCTTAAAGAAATGATATTAAAATATTTTTTCGGTTTTAATTTTTTTCTCCTTTTCTCTATAATCGAGGTGGGTTGACTAAAAATAGAAAGTTTTAGAAGAATATAGTTCGGTATGAATATATATGATTAATATGCTCAGAGAGCATGGAAGGTTCAGCAAGGTTTAGCTCCGGGAATCATTCAACCTTCGCATAAAATATCCTGCCCTTAGTCTTTCTAATTTCTCATTTATTTTCCAAATCTTGTTTTGTAAATTCTTAAAATATGTAACAATTATGCATACTTTGCAATGTATGAATGATATATCATATAATGCATTATATATGCATTATATATGTACGTAATTTGCCTATACTAAACTATGAACGTAATTTCAAGTGACCCTCAATACAAAGATGTCAATGCCCGATTCAGAATAGTACATTTGAAAACTTTATCTGATCAATAGCGTAGAAGATATTGTCATTTGTCTAGGTTTAGAGTCGTTAATTTTGAAAATTCCTATATTTTGTCTGCAGTAGAAAATCGAAAGTCACTTTTGTAGAAAACCCTCAATCATTAGTTTTTAAAATTAGAAATATTAAGATCTATTTCATTCCTTATCAGACAAATCTTTTAAGAGTATAGAGCTTTTGTTAATTAGTTTTTTTTTCTCGGAAAGTTTTCATTAAAATGAAAGAGAAATTTAAGATTAAATAAGGACGATCCTTATTTCAGTTAAACCCTTTCTTAGATTCGCAGCATCTCCCCCCCCCCCATATACACATACACATATACACTCCTAGTCCTAGCCATTTCCCCTTTTCCAATAATCTTATAACAATTTTAGAAGGCTAACTTCTGGAAGACGACATATAAACATGTCTTCTCGGATTTTCAACAGCAGATCCGTAATTTGTGAATAATATACTTTAACCTCGTTGATAATATTGTAGACAAACACTAAACAGTAGAAGAGTTAACACAGATTCTTTTTATATCTAAATATCTACTTAATTGACTGACTATAACAAGTATATAGGCCATAGGAGGGGTCAATGGATACAGTAGAATAGAACCGGAAAACTAGGGAATAGGAAGACGACTTTTAGAGTTATAAATTTAAAAAGTCCGATGACCATGAGACACGGCAATTGACCAGTATAAACAGACCCATTTCATGATAAATGGTTCAATAACTATACTAGTAAAACTATTTGCTTTGTAACAACTATTTGCTTTGTAACAACATCAACTGCATTTAAGTAATGATTTAATGTCGTCTTCCTATTCCACAATTTTTTGGTTCTCACTGTATTCAAATTTGCCTAAATTAATATTAGATACATTTAGACACATACAAACGTACCTTCTCCTAATTTCCGTGTTTATTGGGACACACTGGACTATATCTCTGCAGTGGGATGATTTCACATTATTTTTGGGACCACAGTACGACGCAGATAAGATTTTAATTTCCTCTCGACTTTTAACTCTGCGCATAAAACGGGAGGAATTCTTAAAACTATAAAATTCTTGGTAGAATTCCAAGCTTGAACTGTTGGTTTCATTTGGTGGGACGAATTTACAATATTTTTCAGGTCATGTTGCTNCAATCCCAAGAATCAACATAGACAATCCCAAGAATCAACATAGACAATCCCAAGAATCAAGATCCTGGATAAAAATGCATTATGACTCAACTTAACTATACATTGTTTTTTGTAATTACAAAGACATTTAAATACCGTATAAAATGACTCAATGACATCAACATAGACAACCCCTAGGTCCTGGGCAAAGAGTGCAATAAATAGCAACATTAACTATAAAAAATTAAAGACATATAAATATGATAAGTAATGAGTCAATTTGTCTCACATTTCGTCGAAACTTGCCAAATTTCAACTCTGTTGATTTTTTCTTTTCCTTCCTTGCTTATATTTATATCTTTTCTTCTTTTCTATACTTCCTTGCTTATGTTTAACTCCTTCTTTTATTTCCTTGCTTATGTTTAACTCCTTCTTTTACTTCCTTGCTTATGTTTAAATCCTTCTTTTACTTCCTTGCTTATGTTTAAATCCTTCTTTTACTTCCTTGCTTATATTTAAATCCTTCTTTTACTTCCTTGCTTATGTTTAAACCCACCTTTTACTTCTTTACTTTTGCTTTGTATTTATTCAAATACCAAAAATGCCTTGAAGTGATTAATTGATTAATTCTATAGGATTATGTATATTCGTGACTAAATTTTCCTAGAACGGATTCAGGCTCTAAATTGACAAAAAGGACAAAAAGGAATAAAGCCGACATGAAAAACTAAATAATTGGAATCTAAAAAAATGAACAAAATTATTTTAAAAAGTTTAAATAATTTCCGAAAGACCGATCAGTGATCATATTTCATGAGCCTTAATTAAAAACAAAGGAATTAAGTCTTGTTTAAGTCTTTGGAGCCCAATCTGGTAAACTTTAGATATTTCAAACTATGAATTCTGTTAGAAATATCTAAGGTCTACGACATTTGGTTGCAAATATATAGGAATTAGAAAATCAGAGTTTTTGCAAATACTCAATTCCTTTGAACGAGACTTATTAAGTAATGTTACGGTGTGGGTAGTCTTGAAAGGAATTGAGTCTTTGCCACAACCTCAAATTTTCTAATTTCTATATCTTTGCAACCAGTGGGTTTAACCCTTTGAAATTCCAAACTTAGGTTTTTTGATCTAACAGAATTAATAGTTTGAAATACCTAAGATCTACGACATTGGGTTGCCAAGATATAGGGATAAGAATATTTGAGTTTGTTGCAACAACTCAGTTCCTTTGTAGAGTTGTCATTTTTATATTTTTTCATATAAAAAAGTTTAAGAAGAAAAGGACCAAACTGTAAAATCTGCGTGTGGGGATCATTGGACCTCCCCCTCCTCTCTCGTACGTAGGAATAGGGTTAATTTGTTTCGAAAATATTTCAAATATTAAGAAATTGCTCTGTATCTATTATATATATTTCTAAATTCTCAAGCATATTATATTTCTAGTGTCCCAGAAGATGATACGATAGTAATTTTGCTTATTTTTCAACAAATTTCAAGCATTATTCAATGTTAAATATTTACAAGAAATTATCATGAATTTTAGAGCATATGTAATAATACTGTGACACTATCATTTATCCTAACATCCACATGTTGGTGAAAAATAAAGAACAAAAACATTCACGTTTTCTTCATAAGAATTGCATCTATATATAAATTTTTCTTGTCTGGGTGTCTGTTTATTTGTTTGTCTGTTTTTTTGTATCCAACAAACGTCAACACGGCTGAACCGATCGGGCCCAAATTTTGTGTGGGATCTCACGTGACCTGCAGGGAAGGTTTATGAATGATCAAAATTTTAAAAATTTGTGTTTAAAATTTTTTTTATTTTTGTAAAATTTTGAAATTGCGCAAAAAATAATTATGAAATCAGCAAACTTTTTTGTTTTTCTTTTATACTGTACAAAGAGAAGATGATCAGAGATAAAGCCACGATCAAAAGTTGAAATAAAAGGTGGGCGCGAAACGCCCTAAAAGTCTAGTAATCAATATTAAACTTTAAAACTACCAATTTATAATTGTATGTACACGATAATATCGCAAAAAATAATTTTATCCATAATAACAATTTTGTAAACCTGTAATAACCTCGATAAATAAATAAATATCTAGATCTTAAAAAAATATTAAACTTTCATTCGAATTCACTCCTATACCGTGAATTAATTTTTAAAAATATTAAAAGTCGTTTTTTTACATGTTTTCAAGTAAATTTTGTTAACGTTGTTAACCCGCAGTTTTCAATATTCAAATACATGGGGTTATCTATAAAATATGAGACTCTAATGACGACCTATAACTATTTGAATATAACGCTCAGAAGTTTGAATATAGGTAATGTATGAAAAAGACTTACTAAATTCCATGCAGTCGTCTCTGAATAATCATCCTTTCTTGGTAACCCTGTTAATGGGTTTTTCAGTTAAAAAAAAAATTTCTAGTTTTTTAAAAGTATCAAATGCTTTATATATTTTTCATTGAAACTTTTGTTTGATTGTAGTTTCCGGTTTTTTACTAGAATACAATTGTCGTTATAAAAAAAAGAAGCAAAATAAGTAACAACAGAGGCAAGGACAATGTTTGGGGTAGAAATTTGACTTGTCGTCTTTCTTAGCTTGGAAATGATAAGTTTTGTTTTTAAGAAATCTCTTATTTTTGATATGCATACTAACTACCCGTATTGCGCTCTGAACCAGGATTGAGAAAAGAACTCCGGGTTCTATATTTGTTATTAAACCCATTACTCCGTAAGTAATGCAAAATTACAGCTCTAAATCAGCTCAATTGAGTTCTCAAGTCCTAATCTTGATTATACAATAGTATAAAGATATTATCTTATTATACATGTTTTATGGTACCAGCAACATCCCCCCCCCTAGCCCATCAAGTTTTATTCCCCCCCCCCTCTATCACAGAATATGTTTTGTTTATAACTTCTTTCATGTTTATCATGAGGCACTTGTATATCGATAATGATTGATAAAACTTTAAATTTTAGATATAATATGATCCTATTTTTTTTTCTCGTTTTAACATTTCTATATAAAGGGGCTGTTAATTTCTCTTGAAATTTCCTTCTTTCTATCTTGTTTTCTGCTTCATAAATCGCAAGTAACCGCAGTTATCGATTTCAAGAGAGAAAAACTAGGATATTTCTGTCATTTTTGAACTTGGATAAATGTTTAAAGGGTTACGTTGTATAACGGACATCAACTGTATAAATCAAGTTTAAAGGAACAATTATTTATGTCGACAGAGTCCCATTAAACAAGTTTTTTGTTTATTCTTTTTTATTTTAAATAATTTTCACAGAAAATTCCATAAAATTTGTTTCCTTTTGTGGTTTCATGCAGACTAATTTTCTTCCAATGCGTCCAAACTCGAAGTTCATCATTGTAAAATTTACTCCCTCCCCTCGTCCAATGTCCAGGTTTCTGGGTTACAGTAAAATCCTCAGGTTTATTAGCTCACAATAAACCAATGCACAATATCTCCAAGTGCATATTATAATAGGTGTGATTTACCGCGGATTCCTCTGAACCTAGGTTTGAAGCGCGGAGAGAGGTCCGGAGCTACAGATTCAACTCCTATCCTAGTTAGTTTAGTTCAGCGGAGACGGTCCGTTCAATCAGTTCTTATTATCAGTGTGCTAACTGTTCATTATATACATTCATTATATATATTCATCACATATTCATTACATATACCCACATTCATTACGTATATGTTCAATATGTATAAACTCCCTGTATCTTTGGAACCCAATAGCGTAGACCTTGGATATTTCAAAACAATAATTTTGTAAGATCGAATAATCTACATAAGTTTGAAATATCAAAGGTTTACACCAACATGTTGCAAAGATAAAGGGATAAAAATAAAGAAACATTTGGTTGTGTGACCAAAAACTTTATTTCTAAGGAAAAAAATGATTGATTATTAGTTGTGAGTCAAAAAAAAAAATTTAATGACATCATAAAGGTTTAAGAGATTTTTAAAGTTTCGTCTGCATTCTTTAAAGGGAGTGTTCGCGAAAAATGAAAGAGCTTACGGCGAAAAATAAGCGCTTTTGATCGCTACTAATCTGTTTTTAAAAGTAACTATCAGATCAAAAAAAAAAATATTATGAAATATCAACTACATACGAATGCGTCGAAAAATTATCGATGATTATTGGTTGTAATATCTAAATGATTTGTTTGGAATTAAATAGATTTTTTACGATCAGAGTTGAATGTTGCATCTCTCTGAATTGATATGGACGCTAAGTTCTCCATCATGAGTCGTTTTTAACAATTTTCTCCTTATGGACGCAACAGATAGAAATAAGATTAAAAGCGATCTACAGCGCTTATTTTTCACCGAAGCATTTCATTTTTCGCGTACACTTCCTTTATGGTCTTAATACGTGTGAAAACAGCTGAAAATCTTAAGATCCTTGTGGAGTTCTTTAAAGTGATTGTAGACGCAATTTCAAGTGAATCTCCGTTCATTAAGTGCCATTTCCGACTCACAATGGTACCATTTAAAACCTAGATTGTTAAAAAATTATTGAGTTATCCATGTTTTTCAATTTTAAAATTGATTTTTTTTTCAATCGTGGTTCTCTACGAAAGTAACTAGTGGAATGATGCTGCTATATAAAAGGAATTAAATATAGCGACGAAACGAACATTTCTCTCTAATTATTAATTCAATGAAGGGCTAAAAGTAACCGTTGAGTTCACTTGAAACTACACCAAGAGCTCCTTTAAGAGGAATAGTCGCAGAAAATAAACAAACATGAAAAGATTTAAGTATTATATTCACGAAACATGAAAACAAAGCACCGGAGAGGTTTTAGTTAGATTTATTAAAAAATATAAAGTTTATGATCTGAACGTGTGACTTTCTTTAAACAATTTATTCCCAACCTTGAATGAAAGTTTTACTATATAAATACCCCCAGCAGGAACACGTGATATTAAACATTAGATCAAATTTCATAAACACCATTCAACATTCATCTTTTTATAAATACTTATCAGAAAACACTCAAAAAACGAAGCAGTTGGGAGGGACACGGTGATTTAGATGACTAGGTTTTTTTATTCACGGTGAACCAAAAGGTGCACACTCTTACGCAAATATTTAAATATATATTAAAATGTACAAGGTCTGGGGCTACAATAAAATATTAATAGGTTAGTAAGGTAAACCCTAAGGCTAAGACGGTGTGTCACTTCAAAGTCGATCCGGTCTTAAAAATTGATGCACAATTTTAACAGCTGTCTGGATCTCGGTGGAGGTATTGAGCCTTGACTTATCGTTTTCATCCAGTACTTTCGGTTTAGCACTTTTTATTGTTTTAACTATTAGTTGCTTTTAAATAAAAGATCCAAACTGTAGAGTTATTCGAAACTTTTTTAGTTTCAGGCAATGCTTGGTTCCCAAGCTATTCAAAGAATAAAATCTGAAAAAGGTAAAAATATTACATCTTACATATATTTTGCATGTCTTATTTTGATATTTTATTGACTTTTTAATGAACTAAAAGCCTAAACATGAACTATAAAAGTTTTCAAATCATTCAAATTCCGATAATGATCTTAGGATGATAATTTTCAAAATCTGATTACACCGATAAATTCCGGGCATTCAAACCTCACTAATCTGTTCAGTTCACCTAGATATAGCCTGAAATTCCGGGCTGAATATTCGAAATTCTCTTGGTTTACACATATATACACATCTGATTTTTCCCGTTAAACTAAAGTAAATAAAAGATTAAAAGATATAAGATTTACTTATTTCATACTCAAGCGTAAATTCAAATCTAAAGGTGCTACAAGGTCACAAAGTCGTTCCAGTGATTTATCGTAAATTTCTTGGTCACTGGTTTTCCAAACCATAAAGTTTGCAGTGTCCAACCCCCCCTCGCATCTTCTTAATCTTTGTTAGTATTCAGTTTATATTTGTGTGGAGGATTCCAATTGACAGTTTGGCATCATTAGTTAGCTTTGTAGTTCTTCAATTCAAAGATAGATGGTGCTAAGAAGATGGACTACAGCCATTAATATCAATTTTCTGTAGAATATCAACAGAAAGTATAAGGCTACGATAATATCACCCCAACCCCCACCCCTTAAAAATAATAGAAAACTAAGCAATCCAGAAACTGTCAACTTGTTTTCAGCTTTTTGAATTTTTGTATATTTTAGCCCGTTATTAGGTTTTTCTGTAACACAATACTTTTGTTACTTTAATTTTAAGTTTGTCCAGATTCTCCTAAACTTAATCTTGCCATCATAAACATATCATAAGATTCTCCTAAACTTAATCTTGCCATCATAAACATATCATAAGATTCTGTGAAAAAAAAACCTTGTAATTATGAACTTGACAACATCTTGAAAGACCCTTTGCAATCATGAACTTTTGAAAAGGTTTAATGAAACCTTAGTAATAATAAACCTATGATAAAATTCCTTAAAGGTACTTTAGACGTAGTTTCAAGTTGATAAGATTCATTAAAGCCTAGCTAATATCTGAAAAAATGAATAAATAGATTGTCATTCTCTAAAATTTTAAAGTTCTCAGCTCGTATGAAAACATCGTAAACTATGTTTTCTTAAACTTGAAGTTTTGTATTTTCAGATTCAAATTATCTACAACAGTTTAAACAGAAAATATTATTTTTAAACCATCAAGTACCCAGGGAATGCTCCTTGTTTTGCTTCAAGATGTGATTTTACGCAAACTTTGCGTTAGAAGAAAATACAAGTGCGTGTACACAAGTGAATAGCTATGTTTTTCTACACAATTTCTCTCCTTCAAGCAGCTCTGTTTCTAGCTAGGTAAGCAACCCTATCTATAAAAATAGGATAATTTAGTCAAAATCCAACTTTAAATCTTTTAATGTTCAAACTTTTATCATTTCTTATTCTTTTCCATTTTCTTCTTTTTGTATTTCTTAACCTAGTAAACTTGATCTAATCTGATATAATCCTTATTTCTTAGCAGTCAAATGTTGTAAAACAATGAATTATGTTTGATCAAATAGTCTACACCATCAGGTTGTAAAGATATAGAGATTATAAAATTTGAGTAATTGTATCAAAGAATCAATTCCTTTACATGCTCTTAAAGGGTCCAAATCGTAATTTTAGCTGACCCTTTAATACCACGTCATTACGACATTTATTTTATAACCAGTTGTACGTTCTGGAGTACGTTGGAGCCACTTTCTTTAAACGCCATTTATTTTATAACCATGTGTACAGCGTTATGTACATTTACTTTGGAGCCACTCTCTCTAAACGCCATTTGCCCTATATGTCTAAAATGGCTCTAACTAGCCCTGTACAGAGGATAAATTTCTTTTTGTGGTTTAGAGAAAATGGTAAATAAAGCAAATGTTGTAGCGCAATTTGTAGCATGCAAAATAATAACAGTGCTTTTAAAATCGGTGTTGTACACATTTTTCCTAGCAGGGGTTGATCATTTGGTGTACCGTCCCGCTTTGCCTTTTATAGTGTGTACGTGTACATTAATCACAGCATACTCCAGCTGCTGAAAAGTCGGCCTGGTATACTTGAAATGAGCCGGTGTTTACAGTGATTGTTCTTCACCTTTAAAATGCGTTGACAGTTTGTTTGTGAAGATATCAGGATGGATAAATTTTCAATAAACGACTTTCCGTTAAATTGATAGATGATATTAATCTCCATTTATCGCCCACTGAGTGACAAATTTTTACTAATTTTGATAAAACTACATTCATTGCGCGCTGTCTTTGAATATTAAAACTTATTTCGTTTCAAAGAATTTAAAATTTCTGTTTCTTTATCACAGGGAGTCCGGGGTGTATACATGAATTTTTCCTATGGAGGCTAAAAAAAATTTTCTTTCCAATGGGGCGCAGCATTCGTTTGGGCCTGACAACCCTCCTAAAAACCATAGAGTATCGAAAGGAATGGGGCTGATACTCTATACCCCCCCCCCCAGATAAATCCCTCAGAAGAGAGTCTCTGTAAAAACTCGTCTTCGATCTTTGCGGCATGCACTTGCATAATCTTAATTCAATTCCCATTTAGCATTACGATTTAATTACGACCAAGTATTTAAAATATAGTTAAAATAGATTGTTATAATGATATAAAGCATTATACAGACCTTTATCTTTTTTGATCTTCTTCAAATATTTTTATGTTTCTTTATACTTCATACTATCTAAATTTGGGATCGTAATAAAGATTTCCGTCAAAAAAAAGGAAAATGTTTGTCCAGATTTTAATTTTTTTTATGAATGCAAAATCCTCCTTTGGATTATAACATTCCAAGTTTTCTGCAGCTGCTCGGAAATAAAATCTCATAACTTTATATTTTGGGGACGCTTAAACAATCAAAGAACAAAGATGAGTTTGAAATCGTCATTTAAATCTTATTTCAATTGAAATTTGTGTTGGATAGGTTTGTATATTTAACTGTGTGTGGTCCCAACAGAAGTTTGTTTATGTTCGGAGAGTTATCTTAATATTCATATGTTTTATATCTCCTGCTTTAGCTGGTTGGGTGAGCTAGCCTTCTTACATCTAAATACACTGACAACATGTCATAATAAAGAAAAGAATATGATCTCTGTATTGGTTGAAATACTCAGCGAGGAGAATACGAGGAATAAATGAATTCCATATATGGGTGGGATATGACATATGCAACCATCACATCGGTTAAACCGGTTCGGATTTGATTTCAAAAAGAATATAAAGATTGTCATGTATGTGTCCAAGGAGGTATAGAACTCAGGCCAAATCCAACCTTACTAAAATATGAATTTTCTTAAATTATTGAGGCATTGCCACAAACTCAAATTTTTCTTTCTTATATTTTTTCAACCTGATGGTGTAAACCTTTTTTTATTTCAAACTTAGATTATTTGATCTAACGGAATTCATCGTTTAAAATATCTAAGGCCTGCGCCATTGAGTTGCAAAAATATAGGGATTATAAAATCAGAGTTTACGACAAAGAACCCGTTCCTTAATGACAAAAAAACCGGTAATTGTTTACATTTCACCATTATGTATTGGGCCAGTTTTAGAACTAGTTTTATTGTAAACAAACATCGTTTTGTATACAGTTTGGCCATAAGCCATGCTTTGCTTACTAATTTTGTTATTTTTACAAGAAATAAGGTTTTGATAGGGCGGATTTTAATTTGCCCAGAGAATGACTGTGTTTATAGAACGGATGTAATTCTCTATAATGAGAAATATTAGGCGTTGAAAGCATGGATGAAATTTTGCTTAGTAAGTGATAAGCGTTGATGAGAAGGAAATATTCATTTTTAATAATTAATTGGCATTGATAGGATGGGTCAGGGTGTACCTTTGCTCAGGCGGAACGGATATTATTTTTTCTGTTTAGGAAACAAGGGGCTGAAGTAATAGGAAAGGTTTGACATCCGAATNGAAGTGGATGGGACGGATATATTCATGTTTAGGAAGTATGGAGTGGATGGGACGGATATATTCATGTTTAGGAAGTATGGAGTGGATGGGACGGATATAACCTGGGCTGTGGTAGGTTCAGCTTCTCATCTACCCTGCAACATTACTCCTCCTCATATAGGAACATTAGCCTTGTTATTCACTTCAAATATTTTCTTTGTCAAGTATAAACCAAGTTCGCCCAAATTTTAACTTTCTTATTCCCATATCTTTGTAACCTAATGGTGAAAAAAGTAAACTCAAAGTTTGAAATATCAAAGGTCTGCAATATCAGGGAGAGAAAGATATTACGATTACACAATTAGAGTTAGGAGCGAGTGATCCTTTATTCATTATTTTAGTTTTTTTATTGAAATTTCTCTCTCTATATGATGACTGTTTGTCCCATCAACTTTTAACATGGGAAACCTATGTAAAGGTGAAGAGTGTGAAATTTGCATTTCTGCCAATATTTATCTTTCTTCTTATGTTTGCACAAGACAACACTTAAATTCTGCTCATCGCTGCTTAAATTCTTGGTTAAAATTTTACAGTTAATTATTTGAAAAACATGGCTCATGTTTACAGAAGACAGTGTGTATCTAGGAAAACAAGAAAAATATCAAAATTTTGAAAATTTGTTAATTTTTGTTAGTCTATATCAATTTTGTGTTAATAGGTTTAAATATAAACAATTTTGTTATCAACATGAGCGTAAAAAGATATCTTGAATAGAAAAATAAACTAAATGAAGTTGTATTTATGAGAATTAGTTCTCTGATGTACTCTGAGTAAGATATCTCTTGTTCTCTAGTTCTATGGTATAAAGATGATAACCCTCAACCCGTCTACAGCTATGATGCCAGGAAAATAAACATAATTAAATATAAAAACAAATAAATACAATCAAGGAAAAAGAACAAATATGAAAACTAATTTGAAACTAAATTTAAAACTCTTTTAAAAACAAACAAACCCTGTAAGTTTAAAACTTTAAGCAGTGTTGATATTGAAAAAGTTTTTTTTTTTGAAAAATAATTACAGTGAATCCGATATAAATGAATAGAATGAATACATAGTCCGTCATAAGTTTTTGATTCTTTTTATTTAATTTAAGGTAAATTAATAGCCCTGAAATATGAATGCAATTGACATATTAATATTAAACTAATTTTTCCGCAGCATTTAATCTTAAATATGTAATACAACATTATAAAGAATTCTTTCTATGTATTCAAATATCTGGGATTCACTTTACCGCAATCAAAATAAAAAATAAGTATTTTTTTCTGAATAATTTTTCCAGTTTAGTTCATAAGAGCAGTCGAAATAAAACAATTAAAAATTTAAAGTTATTAAGGGAGAAATGAAAATATGTGCGTTAACATTCTATACACATATATACGAAACACAAAAATATCAGAATGGTTTGCAAATTATTAATGAAAAAAGTGTGGTATAATCAAAAAATATCTAAAATTGTGCATTTATATCAAAAACATTCATTTTTTCCTATTTTTCTCTGATTATGAATATCTAGACCAACACATGGTATTGACAGCATAGTCAGAATTGTATTCATGTCATATATCTCTACATTTAATATATACCCCTGGTAGATCAATATAAAAACCCAGAAAACACTAAACTTTCGCAATAGAAAAAATTCCGAGATTTGATCGTAACAACCCGATCATGTCCTGGGGACAAAAAAAATCTCTATTTAAAATTTTATTCTTGTTTGCTTTAAGTTCAATGCTATAAACATGGTTAGAAATTTTACATTAACACGTAACATGACACTTTTACTAGGCAAACTTCATTGAACTAATGTTATGCAATCTCTTAATTATTTCACACAACATTATTATCGTAATGTGTACAATTACTTTTATAAAAATATTTAAATGTACACTCCTCTTTTTCTAGAAGATTCAAATTAATTTTTTTATTGTTTCTAGAAATTCTAAAACTAATATTTCTCCAGTTTTCTATACTATTGGAGAAAAAGTTTTTCTCTGCAAGATTTGAATTCAATGTTTTTCTTTTTCTAAAATTCAAGACTTAAAGTTTTCCCTTTTTTTCTAGAAGACTTAAGTAAAAGTTTTTTTTTATTTTTAATTATTTAAAATAAAGATCAATATTTCCCCTTTTCTAGAAGATTTTAATTAATATTTCCCCTTTTTTTTAAAAGGATTTTAGTAAATTTTTTCCTATTTTTTAGAAAGGAATTGAGTTTTTGCCACAAACTAAAATCTTCTGATTCCAATATCTTTGCAATCTTTTGGTGCAAACCTTTGATATTTCAAACTTAGATTATTTTATCTATAAGTATTAATAGTTTGAAATATCTAAGGTCTACGCCATTGGGTTACAAATATATAGAGATTAGAAAATAAATCAGACTTTGCGGCAAAAACTCAACTCCTTTTAGAAAATGTTTCATCTTTTTTCCTTGACTTAAATTCTTCTTTTTTCCTCTTTTCTACAAGATTTGAATTAATGTTTCTTTTTTTCTTGACGAATTAAATTATATTTTCTTCTTTCCTCGAAACTTTGAGTTCAATGTTTATCCTTTTTTTCTTGAAGATTTAAATTTATGTTTTTCATAATTTTCTAGAAGATTTAATTTATGTGTATCCTTTTTTCTACAAGATTTTAATTTATTATCTTTTCCCTTTTTTCTGTGAACTTTGAAGTAATATTTTTCTACTTTTCTATAAAATTTCTAAAAATGTTTCCCCTTTTTCCTATTTCTCTAGTTAGGAGAGTTGAATAAACGTTAACAAAGATTATTTTCGTTTTTCTACGTTTTTCTACACTGGGATTTTTCTATCGTAAATCTGCGTCGCCATGTTAACCTCTTATTTAGGTTTTCCGTTTTTTGTAAGATTATATCCTGTATTTTTATGAAACAGGCTGAATATTTGAACCCCTCCATGTGTTCACACCCCAGGGATCATGTGTTTCATGGCAGTTTGGTTTATTAATACTGAATATCAAGTTCTTCTATTGGAATATAAATCTGAATGTTTGAATAATTATGTAAATCCAGGGGGTCGACCAGCAAACACTGGTCTGAGAACCATCAGTTCGGTTCAAGAGCTATTTTTAGGACGAATATCACCCCAGCTCAGTTAGTTCTTACAAGTGTACTGAAATCCGACTCCGGGGTGTACAAGTGCAGAGTAGATTTTAGGTATTTGAAAATTG